TTAATAGCTATTAACTATTAAGCAAAGCTATTAGTTAAATCCGCTTGGAATTGCAGCCCTCCCCCTTTCTGGATGCCACTAGTTGGCAGTAAGTCACCTACCCGTCATAGCCCTGCTGTGATTGGCAGATAATTTTGACAGGCAACTACACTATGGGTTTAACCAGCTGACAATATTCCATGAACCCATTAGACAAGTTCACTGCACAATGGGGTTGATTCCCAAATCACATTCTTTTATTTTCTCCTCTTTTCATCCACAGACAACACCTCCATTTTATAAAATTGAAGATGTTAGTGTGCCAGTAGCGGTGTGGGGTGCAGGAAAAGATATTGGTATAACCAGAAGTAATATTGAATCATTGGTAACTCGAATCACTCATTTAGTTTTCTATAAGGATATTCCGGATTGGGAACATTTTGATCTTCTCTTTGGTCTGGATGCTCCCCATCGCTTGTATCGCGATGTCGTTGAACTGATGCAGAAGTACAAGTATTAATATTAGGGTTGGAGTCTCTGGAAAAAGCAACATCTCAGCCACTTGCCTGTACCTTGAAATCCTAGAATCTAGCTTTTTAAATTAAGTGAGGTTATTAGAAAATACAATTATACATATCCTTTACATAATTTCCAACATTAAAGTAAATATGTCAGGTTTTCTATTATTTGTTTAGTTCCCTACTTTACCTGATTGCTTATTTATACAGAAATTCATGTAAATGAAAGTTTCCTGACTCGGTTAGCTGATACAGTATCAAAGTTCTCTGAGTATATATAGAGATATATATTATTCCATAGCAGCTTTGAAGAGATCTCAGATTATATCTGATTTTTTTCCTCAAATGATTTATTCTGCTGTACTCAATGTGGCTGAGCCAAACTATTTGTTGTAGGAAAAGAGTTTTATAGACTAGGTTTCTTTTATTTCTTTATTCTAGTTAAATTGGGCAGCTTAAGCACAGATAATAACTGTAAAAAGGATGCTTTAGACTGCTTTAATGTATTTCATTAAGAAGGGTAAAATATGGGTCTGCCAATATAGATGCTGGACAACGTAGGATATTTTTCAAATTCAAATTCTCTGCATTAGATGCTTTGCTAATATTGTTATGCCTTGCAATCCATGACTATACAGTATATTTTCTTCTTCTTTGTGTGTAATAACTTTATTATTTCTTTTAAAAAAATGAATAGCAAAAACTAACAAGGGCTAAAATTAAGAGAAAGAATAAAGAGAAAGAAAAAAAATAGAAAATGAAAAAATAGTTAAGATCAAAAGTGCAGGAAAGAAAAGAAAAAGAGAAGAAAAAAGCAACAAAGGAAAAAAAAATTGATTTCCGACCGCCCTTGCAACAGATATAAGTAACAATATACATCAAACTCTTACCCTAAATTTAAACTATAGCTTCCATTATTTCTATTAACCCATATTATTTCTACATGACTATATATTTTCATGATTAAATCTGACCCTTTTTATATTATACTCTATAGACTAACATTTTCAACAGTATCGCTTTGTTTCTATTTCTGTACTGAGTGTCCTGTTGGACTGTTGTACA